GGAGGAAGGTGGGATTTGGAAACACACAAACCACATGGATACTCCCAATTGTTTGCTAGCCTCCTGCAAGGGCAGATTTACAAAGACTGCAATATGCTCAAGGGATGAGAACACCCCAGTACACTCAGAGATGCAAGCTGGACAATAGGCAAAGACTCAGAAACAGCCAAGACTTAAAGCAAAGCTACCAAGAAACCTATCCCCCGAACATGAAACACAACAGTGTTATTTCACTGGCACCTTATCCATCAAAGTGGCCGTTCCTCCTTGCCCATCTCTCTGCTGTTCATTGTGCTACAGTGAGACATTCCCAACTGGCTTCAGGGGACAAGCACTTTGGTAGTGTTGAGTGCTAAGATGGAGCTTTCCATGGTTAGCAAGCACCATGTTTTCTTAGCCAAGGTCTTCCCGTATATGGGACCCATTTCCTGGTCAGTTCTCCAGAGACGAGGCGTATGGGCTGTTACTGCACAGTGCTAGGCATCTCTGTTTCAGCTCAGCTTCTGGCAAAAGCCTATGCCTAAGGAGAGGAATCAGGGGCAGGAGTCACAGCCACTATGTCACGGAAGGAGCAGCTTAAAATGATTCTGCTTCAATGGGTCTCGTTTTGGGCAATTATTTCACGTTCAGACTGTGAGATCACAGCAACATAGGGCTGGAAGGGATCTCAAAAAGTCGTCGAGTCATCAAGGAAAGGCCAAGCAAACGTAGATCATCCCTGACCGGAGTTTGTCCAACTGTTCTTAAAAACATCCAGTGACAGGAATTCCATGATCTCCCTTGGAAGCCTGTTCCAGAGTTTACCTACTCCTATCGTCACAGATCACCATCCTCTTTATAATGTTCCCTCTCGGTTTTCTTTTCTCAGGACTAAACACATCCAGGTTTTTAAAAATGTTTTTTGTAGCTCAGGTTTTCCATCTGTTACTTTCCTCTGAACTCTCTTTGATTTGTCCACATCTTCCTAAAGTGTAGCACCCAGAATTGAGCACACTACTCCAGCTGAAGCCTTACCAGTCCCGAGTTGAGTGGGACAATTATCTCACATGTCCTGTATATGATGCCCCTGTTAATACATCCCAGAATATTAGCTTTTTAGCAATTGCATCACATTATTGACTCACTTTCAATTTGTGATCCACTACAACTCCCAGATC